TTACAGGGCGGAAAAAAGTCTGCGGGGCCCCTTGGGATGATGGTCACCCTTCCAGACCCCCAGGATCTCTCCCCTATCGGGGACGTCGTGTCTAAGTCCCTCTTTGACAGTTCGCTCGGGAGCCGGCGAAGCGAGACCTTTCCTCCACTGTCCCTGTCTGAGTCTTCGGTGGCACCCACGGCTCAGAGGCGCCGCTGTATGGGGGTCACCGCACCTCGGGACTCACAGCCGCTTGCTCCATTTTGATGGGCCGTACTGCCCCATTGGGGTTGATGTCGGAGTCTGCCACGGGCGCGGGCTGCGAGCGCGCGGCCACCTCGGCCTTGCGCCCGGACCCCCGGAGGGCGCCATCGTCTGGGCTTCGGTGAGCAGGCCGTTTACGGGGCCCGGGTTGGGCGGGGCCTGCAGCCAGCGCGGCTGCCTGGTCGCGCAGCAGCCGCACCAGGAAGCCGATGTACTTCATGGCCAGGCGGAGCACCTCGTTCTTGCTCAGCTTCCGGTCGGGCGGGTGAGTCGGCAGCAGTTTCCTGAGCTCTGCGAAGGCGCCGTTAACGTTCTGCTGCCGCCAGCGCTCGCGGCTGTTGGTGAACACGCGCCGTGCTACCTTCTGGGGCTGGTGCCCTGCAGATAGGACGGGCGGGGCTACCCTCCAGGCCCAGAGGGCACCCCCTCCCAACCTCACTTAGGCACACACAGCACCTTCATGGGATTTACGCCCAGGTGGTGGATTGTGGCACCACCACACAAGGGATCCATGTGTGGGGTCTATGTGTAGCTTCCCCTTTGCCCACGGGCCCCACAGAGAAGGATCCTAAGTCCAGACTGTAGACACCAGGGCACTTCTCTGCACCTTCATGACCATGGCTGAGAGTCCCCAAGGAAACGTTTCCTTGGAGCTGTCACTTTGAGAAACTCCCCCTGCGGCCCACATTCTCAGTGTGCAGCTGGGTGTGCCTATCGTTCTGAGAAGTACTCGCATTGTTGATGACGGTGGTCCTGTTGGGGTCTCATGTGGCCAGGTGATTCCTGGTCGACCTGATGGCTGTGCTCATGTGTGGCGCTATCATGTGGTGGTGGATGTTTCATGCATAGCTGTGGTTCTGTGGCTGACTCTTGTGTGGTTGTGGTTGTGTGGATGTCTCCTGTGTATCTTTGGTCCTGTGGCTCTTTCATGGCTGTATGTCCCAGTGGAGCTGTCATTTTGTGGCTCCTATGCCCCACTGTGGCCAACTTTGTTTTGCTGTGACTGTGCGGCTGTGAGGCGTGGCTGCTCAGTGACAGTGCTCGAGTGGGGACTATGGGACTGTAGTCTTGTACTTGGGTACGACCTATGAGTGCACGTATGTGTGTGCATTGGAAACACATCTTCCTGTGGAAGAGTGTGGTACAGACCTGGGCCCAGGCAGAGAGAGCCACTCACAAGTATACACACACACACACACACACACTCACCCTCAGCCAGGTCCAGCTCACAGTGGCTTGGTCTCCGCTTCAGCCGGCTGCTAGGGAAGATGCTAAAAGGTCCTGCTGGCCCAATGTAGACGCTGTAAGGGTTTGTGGGTCACAAATGCCTTGTGGGCAAGGACCCTGGCCCCCAATATCCAACACCACCCCCAAGCCCCAGCTCCCCACTGACCTGTTGAGGAAGGGGTGAGGGTGGTAATGCAGAGCCAGGGTGGGCGGGGTAGTTCCCAGAGTGGAGAGGTGCAGCAAGGGGGGCCGGAGGGCACTCAGCTCTGTGGCGGGCATGGCTGCCCCTGGGGGCCTGGTATGACCCAAGCTGATCACTGGTACACCAGGGGGCAACCTGGATGGGGAGCCACCTCTGTGGCCCACCTCATCTGAGGGTAGAGGCCCAGGTGAGGCAGGCTTAGTGGGTGGGACAGGGGCTGGGCTGGAAGCACAGACCATCTCAGCCTTCTCAGTCATGGTGGGGCCCACCTCTGCCAGGGCCTGGGGTGGGCACATGGACCCCGAGGAGGGGTGCTCACCTGTGGGAGGGAGGGGAGCCAGTGGGAGGAGGAACAGGTGTGACCTCCCCTCACCTGCTTAGGCTAACAGAACCTTCAAATGGAAAGAAAGCGGGAGGAAGGAGGGTGGAAGCTCAGTGGGAAAGACAAGTGATTCCAGAAACTACCAGGACATCGGAGGGCATTCTCTACAAGAGCGGGGTTGTCTACCAGGTGGTAGGCAGCATGGCAATGCCTTCTCTGGGCTGTTTGTGAGGGGATGTGCCTCCAATTTCTCCCAGAATTCCCTTTCACCTACAGCCTAGAGCTGAGACAAAGAAGAAGCCCCCGACTGACCCTGGGATCTCCTGAAACCCCAAGATTGAAACTGTGACCCTCAGATCTGAAGATCTGATTCTGAGATCCTTCACTGACTCATTGGTGCCATGTGACCTTGGAGTCCCTCCAAGATCCACTCTCTTTCTCTGGCCACCCCTTCCCCCCCACACACCCCAAGGCTGGCCCCATGGACTTCAGGTATGGCCCTGAGGTTCTTCACCCTGCCTCCACATTTGACCCTGGAAGCCCTCCATAATTGCTCTGGAACTCTCGCTCCTGCTGAAAATGTTCCCCTTACTAATCCTGTAATCCCACTATCATAGGGTGATGATGGTGCCTGATACTGACCCTGGGACTGACAACACTGTTTCCAGTGCCCACTCCAGCTCAGTCTAGCTCATACCCTCCCTCTGGCTTAGACACCCACCCCCACCAGCATCTATACTTTTGCACCCTTTTTTTTTTTTTTTCTTTTTTGCAATGCTAGGAATTAACCCAGGACGTTGCCCATGCTAAGGCCAGTGAGCTGCACTCCCAGCCCTGCACCCTTCAAACATTCCTGTTTGTGGGACCCCAGGGTCTGGGGTGTCCCAGCAAGGTGTGGAACTCCTTGCCCCTCTGCCCTGACTTCTCCAGCTGGGGAAGCTGGTCTGGCCCCAAGCTTAGGGAATCCTGGCTGATGAATGAATGAATGAACGAACAAAGGAATGCTGGTGGGGTCCCAGGCAGAGACCCTCCACCTTCAAGCCGGCTCCCTTCTTACCCCGGCGCTGTTCCAGCAGCCTGGTGAGTGCCTGGGCTCTGTCTCCGCAGGACTGGCAGTCCAGGCCAGGATGCGGTTTCCGCTGTCGGGGTTCAGCCAATGCCTTCCAGGGCGCCCCGTCGGCCCAGGAGTTGGGCCGCGCCTCCTATCGGGCTCCCGAAGGCCGCGGCGGCCGGTGGCGGCGTGGGTTCCCCGAGGGAAAGTGAACGGCTCCCGGCCCGGCCCGCCCTCTCCCCGCCCCCGGCGGCCGGGTTTCCTCCCTCTCACCCCCGGCGCAGCGGCCAGAGGATGCTGGGCCAGCTCAGATAAGGGCCAGGCCGCCTGGCCGCGCCTGATAAGGAGCCGGGCTGACCCCGGAGGAAACCGGCGGGCGGGGATCTCCGAGCGCGCGCCTCCCGGCCCCGCCCCCGGCCGGCGCGGGCAGCACTCGGCGGTCACCCCTCACCGGCCGGCTTTCCGCTTCCCCAGGCACCGGACTACCCCGGCCCCAGCGTACAGCCTGGGGGAAGGGCCTGGATGCATACCGAGGGGAAACCGAGGCATGGAAACTTCAGCCTTTGATGTTGTCTGGATCTGTCCTTTGGCTTTGAACACCCCCTGCCCTAATGGAGTGTCTCTGCTGATGGGGTGGAGGAGGGCCCTTTCCGGCCCACTGGGGCCTCGTGACCCGGGGGCCCCCTTCTCCCCTCCTAACCCGCCTGGTTGGTTCCTCTTTTTTTTTTTTTTAACAGATCCCCTCCCAACTTCTCCACCCCCATGACGGGGTGGGGCACCCCAGGATATACAGTTCTGGTGGCCTGGCTTTGAGCCGCTGGGCTGAGCAGTGTTCTGGGCTCTGGGGCACACTCCACCCATTTCCAGGTCCAGTTCTTAGGTGATGGGACTGGAGAGGACTTCAGTGGCTGCCCCAATCAGTCCCCACAACCTGGATGTCTGGACTACTTAGTCACCACGAAGGGTGGAGCCACCTCCTGGCTGGCAGCATCCTGGAATGATGGTTCTGTTCAGGACCAGGCTGAAAGCTCACAAAGGGAGGGGCTCTGGTCACAGCTAAGTAGCAGCACAGACCTCTCCTTATCCCCTATCCTGCATAAGGATCTGTTCTCCTTTGCCCTGTACCTGGTTAACGGCAGGCGTTCCCCAGGCAGGCCCTCCACTGCCACCTACCACCACAGCCACCACCCTCCCTGGAGTCCAGAACCAACCGCCCTCCTGTCCCCCACCCCACCCAGGGGAAACTCAAGTTTTAAGCCCGTGAATTAATTGATGCCCCTACAAGGGAGTTCTAGAATTGGTCTTCCTTTTCAGCTGGGGATGAAGGGTGCACGTGGTGGACAGGAATTTTGCCCCAGGATTCCCCCTAAGGTTACTGAGCCCCTGCCCTCGGGGGAGGGGGATGCAGCTTCCCTTCATTGGGTGTCTGGGCAGCAGCCTGCTTGGCCCCTCTCTTCAAGCACCCCCACTTGGGCCACAGGGCAGGAAGCACCTGGTCTGGAGCGGATGTACAGAGTGCCTGGTTCCGGTCCAGCTTCCGCCGCCACAGCCCCGGGAGAGCTGGGCCAAAAGAAACCAGGCAGCGGGGAGGCAGTGGCAATGGGAGGACACACTGGGGCTCGCTGGTTGCACTGGGCCCAGGAGCACTCCAAGGGAGGGGGGAGGAGCAGAAGTCCCACGGGTGCGAGCGCAAGGCTGCCGCCCTGTGGTCACCTTGGGAATCGCAAGTGGCAGCTCTGGGGGGTGTCTAAGCAACTTTGCCGCAGAGGGACATACCACACATGGTCAGCTCCTATTCCCAGTCAAGCAGGGACAGACATCCCCCAGTCAGGCAGATGCACAGCCACCTCAGGTAAGGAAAAAGGAGACAGAGGACTAGGACCCAGTCACGCTGCTGGATGGATGGGAAGGAGGCCCTCACAGCCCACAGCCAGCCTCCCCACTCAGAATGACAATCAGCAGAAAATGACGTCTTTATTGGCTCAGTCTACACCTGGCCCAGCAGCGGGTCCCAGGTCTAGGGGGGTTCTGGTTGGGGGGGTCTCTGGGCAGTCTGTGGGGGTGGCATCAGCTGAGGCTCCGGGCAGAGGACTGTGTGAGTAGCAGCACTGGTCTCCTCGTTGACAGGTGCCCTGGTGGGAAGAGGGTGCCGTGAAGCCCTCTGCAAGCACGTGGCTGGCCCCAGTTGTTTCAGGCCAAGAGGGGTATCCACATGCCCAGAAGTTTTGGGGAGAGAGGAGGTACCTCACCTCCTTGAACCTTTTACAAGGAAATGTCTTTAGGCGAGCAGCGCGCTGGGCCCGATCCTCAGGGGGGTCCTTCCGCTTATTCTGGAGGAGCCTGCGTCTCTCCAGCACTTCGCTGGCTGCCTTGGCCCTGCAAGTAGACAAGAGTGCTGGGACCCCAGCTGGTGGCTGCCTCCGCCTGGCCCTGGCAGAGCCACAACCCCACTCACCCTGGCCGAGCTCGGGGCCGGGGACCCCAGTTGGCCTCCGGGTTGGCCTGAAAGCGCTTGAGTCCCCGCTGGCGCGAGCTGGGGTTAGCATCCTCCCGAATGGTGAAGTTGGCCTGCAGCCTGGGCAATGGGAATAAGGACTGGGGCAGCCACGGCATGGGTGTCCAGGGACCACTGTGGAGCCTGTCCAGCTTGGAGCAGCTTGCCGTGGCTGCCCCTGCCCGGGTTTGTCATTCATTTAATAAACATTTTGCTTTTACTATCAAGTCTGCATGGTTCTCTCTGCTGGGAATAGGCCTGCGCGGGGCGGGGCTGACTGTCTAGCACAGGAGACGGATGAGCAAGCAACGGGTCAGATCAGAAAGGGTAAGATCAGAAATAGGTAAACAATGTTGTGTCAGGACATGTGGTGAGCGTTCTGGTAAAAGGCACCGGAGCCAGGAGGGATGCGATGCCAGCCCAGGTGGTCGGGTCAAGGCAGGCTTCCCTGGGGAGGCAGGAGGTGAGAGGCAAGCCGTGTGGAGAGCGAGCACAGGCAGAAGCTGGAGATGACCGCCCAGCGAGACTAGGAGTCAACAAGGAGCAGAGAGCACAGAGAAGATGGTGGGGGGCTCTTCAAGGTCTGGGGGGCCACAGATAGGACTCTGGTTTCTCTCGAGTGAAGTGGGAGCCATGGAGGGCTCTGGGCAGAGGAAGGGTGCTCTGCTGCTTCAGACATGCACAGCCCCGCCCCCGCCCCCCCAGCAGATGGTGACAGCCAGGTGGGTCTGGAGGGCAGAAGCTGAGGGAGGAGCGGGCAGGCTTTGGATTTCGCTGAAAAAGTCTGTGCAGGGAGGGTCTGTCCTCTGCATACAGGGGTCCCCCTACCGTACTGGTGGGCTGCCCTGTTCCCTCCTGCAGTTACCCATCTGTACCTGGGCTCCACACTGAGGATGCGGAATGCTGGGCTGGTCTCGGACAGTCGCTCCCGTTTCACAGGACACGTTTTCTCCTGAGGGCGGAGGTCAGTGGATGTTGGGCCCAAGGGGCCTTCAGGGGACTGGCACCCGCCCATCCCCACGTGGTCAGCCTGCCCTCACCCACCCAGCAGCGCATTATGTCCCAGAGAGCTGTGGAGGGGGCGTCCGTCTTCACTGCACTCTTACAGGCGTGGGAGAGTGAGACCCGGAAGCCAGCATGGAGGAGGGCCGACCTGGGGACAGCAGGGACTGTGATGGGAGACTGGACTCCTCGCAGGGGAGTGGCACACCAGCGACCACAGCAGTAAGGCCACGCATGGGCGGCCTGGCGGGCCAGTGTGCTTGCTGGAGAACCCTAGCCACCCCCACCCCACCCTCACCGTAGCTGGAGGAGGCTGGGCGTGTTGCAGTGGATGGTGCTGCTCAGCTGGTCCAGCGTGTAGTACAGGGGCACATCCGGGAGCTCCTGAGGGGGCACAGGAGGGGCTGTGCAGCTGGTGGAAAGGACAGGCTCAAGAGGACATGGGCACAGGTGGGGCCCCCCCACCCGGCACGGCCCACCCCTACCTCAGTGATGACACTCAGGACTCCCCGAATCCGCTCTGAGGTGTGGAAGCGCTCAGGGTTCGTGCTCACAGCCTCCAGGACGCGGCCCACAAAATCCAGGTTGTGGATGGGCTCTGCCCACAGGGGACCACCAAGCTGCGGACACACAGGGAGCAGTGAGCAGGGGCGGGGAGTGGCCGCTGGGATTGCTGCACCCCCTCCCTCCGCTGGCTTAGTCCTACCTGGTGTCGCTGCCCACAGTGCTCACACTCGGGGCTCACAGGGGGACCACAGGCTGCAGAGAACTTGACCCTGCAAGGGGCAAGGCAGTTAGGCAGGTGGTGACCCTGGGACACCTTCACCCTCCTGCCCAAGGACCCCTGCTCACCGGCCACCAGAGGCTCCTGCTGCTTTGCCGAGGCGCTGAAGGTGCAAGGCTCCACAGCCCACGCACTGGAAGACCAGCGCCTGCTTGCTGTGGGATCCAGAGCATGGCGATGAGCTCCCAGTGTGGTCGCCACGCCAACTCCTCCTTCAGACTGGCTCTGTCCCTTTTAGGACCCCCAAGTCCCCAGGACGAGGCCTGATCTCCCCCTCAATCCACCATGCCTCCCCTGCCCTCCGCTGACCTGGCTGAGGCCTTGACCTTGGCCTGGCCCGTGAAGACGCGCACAAACACACGCACGTAGAAGTCTGCGCTGATGCTGAGCAGCGGCACCACAAAGCGCTGGTAGCAGTTGGCGCGGAGGTCCAGGCTGTGCAGGACGATCCTCAGGGCCTGGGGGCGGAGGATGGGGTCAGCCCTCCCTCCAGGATCCTCTCTGCCGCAAGGGGCCACACACAGTGCTCAAAGCACCCGTTCAAGGATGGTTCCCTAGGTTCCAAACCCAGTCACAAGTGTCCTGGCTGTGTGACCCCGGGGGCTAGCCAGCAGCACCCCTGGGCCTCCGTTTCCTCATCCGCAAAATCACAACCGTCCCTGTGTCTTTGTGGCCTTGCTGGAACTAATGAATGAGGAATGGTCTTCCTTCTGTTGACCTTGTCAGTGTGCCTCCTTCACTGTGGACTGTGGGCTGAGGACCCAAGTTCTAGCCCCAAAGGCTCTATGTAGGAAGTGGGGACACTATGTGATGCAGAACTGCCTAGCCTTCTCCTTGCCAGAGGCTGCCATGAGACTCCAACATGGGAAAGGAGGTGGGTGGGCATTTCCCAGACTGACCTGGGAACAGGGCCTCAAGGAACAAGGAGCCCCTGCCTCAACTCCCCACAGCAACCCTCTAGGGTTGGTACCATCGTCATGCTCGTGTAATAGATGCAAAACCAAGGCCCAGAAAGGTGCTGTCAATTGCCAGCAAACGTCTGAACCAAACCTGGAAAAACAACTCTTTTTTTCCTTAAGCTGAGCACAGTGGCAGGCCCCTGCAATCTCACCTACTTGAGGCTCAAGTAGGAGGATCACAAGTTGGAGGCCAACATAGCAAGATTCCGTCTTAAAAAAAAGGAACAAGTACGCAACCACCTACTGCTACCCGGCCCCTTAAAGACCTGTTTATGGTCACCCCCTGGATTAATGTAGCCCTGGCTGCCTGGAGGAAGCAGAGCAGGTCTTAGGTGTAGGAAGGCGTGCTGGGTAGGGGCAGCGAGTTTCTCCAAGCCTGGTGCCTCCCCTCCCTGGAGGGCTGGGAGCACCCCTCACCATCTCATGGCAGGCCCGGCTCTTGAGGGCCATAGCCCCGTACTTGCTGTAGCATGTCTCCCCGCTGTTCCCGGCCAGCACTGCCATGTCCGTGCAGGTGACACACAGCAACCCTTTGGGGAAGAACTGGGTAGTGAGGCCCTCTGGACACCCCTAGCCCTGCTCCAACCTCCACATCAGCCCAGCCTCACCTCCTTCGCTCACAGCCTGCACAGCTGCGTCCAGGAAGGGGGCGGGGCTGCCATAGGGGTCCAGGTCAATGACATCAAACCGCTCTGATACCTTCTGGTGCTGGTACATCAGCATCCTAGGCACAAAAGGTCCAGGTCCTCAGCCTCCCCCAGCAGGTACCCCAGCTCTGTCCCTTACAAGCATGAACTCCTGCAGGGTAGTGGTTCTGGCCTTGAACTCAGGGGCCAGCTCCCCAGGTGCAGGTCCTATCTTGGGCATTTGTTAACAGCATGGTTTTCCCCCTTAGACAGGCCCCAACTGAGCTGTCTAAAATCTTGGTAACAGCCAATCCCAAGATGTGACTTAGAGCTGGCCCTCTGAATCCATGAGAAACCAGGCTGGAAGCCCCCCAGGCGGCAGTGAGGCAGCTCGTGCAGAGGTCACAAGTTCTACTGTGTTTACTAACCCACTGTTGGCACCGGAGCAGCACCTGGCACACAGCAGACATTGGATATGCCACGGTTCATTTGAACAAATAAAAGGAGCACAAGGGCTGGGGCTGTAGCTCAGTGGAAGAATGCCTGCCTAGCATGTGCAAGGCACTGGGTTCGATTCTCAGCACCACATACAAATAAAGGTCCACCAACAGCTAAATATATATATATATACACACACATTCACACACACACACAATAACACATATAAAAAGGGGGGACAAGGAGTCTAAAATGGAGACCACACAGCATAGCCACATGCCACATACAGATTTCAGCCAATGACACTGCGTATTACCTACTGACATTATAGCTGTCTTAGTCTGTGTAAGTACACCCTCGTGTTCCCACAACAAAAATTGACTACTGACACATTTCCTAGAACATGTACCCAATGTTAAGCAACATATGACTACACTTACTTTTGGCAGAGTTTGGACTATTTTTTTTTTAAATATTTATTTTTTAGTTTTAGGTGAACACAATATCTTTATTTTAATGTTTTAGTTCTAGATGGACACAGTACCTTTATTTATTTATCTTTCTGTGGTGCTGAGGATCAAACCCAGGGCTTCACATGAACTAGGATTTGTTTTAGTTTTGCCACTTGAGCCACAGCCCCAGCCCTCCAAACATTCTTCTCTATTACTTGAGCATTACCACAATCTGTGTAAAACTACTGTTCTCTGGCACACAAGAAAAGTAGGGTTCAAATAGACTCAGTCAATCTCCCAAGGTCATATGTCAAGACTGTGACAGGGCCAGGATTTGGCCCCAGACAGTCTCTCTCTACAGTGTACCTTACAGTCACAGGGCAGAGTCATCCAGAACCTACCGAGCATCTGCCTGGTTGGGTTGTACCAGATGGGCCACACCATTGAGCTGCACATTATGGCGCATGAGGTCCACAGCCCGGGCAGAGGCATCATTGGCAACCACAGATCGGAGCCCAGGCACCTCCAGGGCGAATCGAATGGAACGCAAGCCTGAAGCTGCCAGGCCCTCCAGGACACGCAGGCCTTCCTGTTGGAGGAAGCAAGGACCCTGTTCCATCCATATTTCCTTCCTCTTCTGGGCCCCAGAGATTCCCTACCACCCCAACCCTTCCCCCTCCAAGAGCTCTCCTTCCCCTACTACCCACTAGATTCCAAGCCTGTACCTCCTCTGCTTAGGTCTTACCTCACAGATCTCCCCGACGACAGCTATTTGAGGTTTATCTCCTGGGGCCAGGTTTTCACCATCTTTCCAGTCAACCTTTTCCTCCTCTTGCTCGGACAAGTCCACAACCACCTTTTGCAGGTCCTTCTCACCTGGCACCTTGACTACAGTCACCAAAGACACAAATCAGGGGATATTAATGACCCTCTGAGACCCCATAAACTTCAGAATACTTTAGATTCACAGATGAAAATCTTTCTGAAAACCCCAGGGGAAAGGCTGACAGAGCAGAGGGCCTTTCTGGAGTCTTGGGAGAGAAGGGGATGATACAGGGAGAGAGCTCTGTGTGATTGCCTGGCCCACTGGGAGCCTGGACCTCCACTCACTCTGGATTCCTTTGGTCCCAAGCTGAATGCGAGCAAACTCGGTGATCACAGCACATCTGGTGGGAGATGGAAGGTCAACTGGTACCTCTTGACAGGGCCACTCCTTTGGAGTGGTCCTTGGTAGTGTCATTCCCTTTGCCCTTCAGCAAGAATGTAGTACCACCCTAATCCTTTTAGGTCACCTCCCATTTGTCCAGCATTTTAAATTCTAAAGAGAAGCCCCACCTAAATAGTTAAGATGTTAATTGTTAAATCTTTCTTTAGATTTACAGAACCCAGAACATCTCAAGACCTTCACAACACCTTTATTTCAACTAACACAAAACATGTAAATTACTGTGAGGTTTAACTTGCAGAAAATGTCTAAGATCTACAGGAACTAGCCCCAGGAGATTAAGGTCAAATGCAGTGTTCCAGATTAGAAAAAAAGGAGACACATGCTCAGGATGACAAAGACCCTACTCAGCAAGTAGCTTTCCGGCTTTGCTCCTCCTTCCCTTCCTTGTAAAAGTCCTCTATGACCCTGAGCCCCTCAAGATGGAGCTTTGAGGTTGAGCTCATCCATCTTCTGAGATGCCAACCCTCGAATAAACCCGAAACCTTCCTACTAACTCTTCTCTCCTATTGATTGGTCTTCGAGCAGCTGGCAGCCAACTTATTCCGGTAACACCCTCAGCCTCACTGACCTACTTCCCTCTCCTAGGCTGAACCCTGACCCTTGCTCACGTCAGGTCGCGGTTGAACTCCTGCACCGGGTTGTAGAAGACCTCGTTGGAGCTGGGGAAAACGATCTTGGCGGCCCCCTCGGTGACTGTAGTCTCCTGGGCCGTGGGTGGGCGCTCTTCTCTGCAGGGCCCAGTACCGTTCTCCATTGCTCCAGGATTCGGGGGCTTTGGGGGCTGCCACTCCACAAAATGGGCTCTACAAAGGCTGCGGGTGGAGCGGAGAGTGAGGCTCAGCCACAGAACAATTCTCGCATGGGTCATCCACGGTCGCTTCTGCCCACCAAATCTAGTTCGGGGACAGGGGAAGGCATAGAGGGAGGATCAGAGAGCTGCATCCGGGGCCAGGAGTGGCCTACACAGTAGGGACTAAGTAAACCCAGTGGCTTCAGTAAACTGACACCCTCCGTTTCCAGAGACATTAGCCCCTGCAGAGCTTAAAGCTCTCAGGTGAACCCGCCCCAAGTCCAGATCGCTCCCGGCATCATCTAAGTTCTTCTCACTTCTTTAGGCACAGAGAGCTGAACAGTCTGGATGCACGTTTCCCGAATTAGGATCTGGGAGCCGCCATATTGGCACAGTGTGTGGGGGGGTGGGCTGGTCACATGACCAAGGCTAACCAGTCAGTGACAACACTCACGGTGGGCGAATAGGATCAAAATTTATCGCGGCAAGAAAGTGCGCTGAATGTGCTGCGCAGGTAGTCTTAAAGCACAAAAGCTCCCCGGGAAGGAAACGCATCACATCTCTTTAGTCAAACTGAAGATATTGTGGTTCGGAAAGGGAGAAGTAAACAGAAACTCAACACCTGCTGATCGCGTCCTGTGTGCTGGGTGCAGTATACAAATTATTTCAGAGCATCTTGAAGGAATAATTCAGGCTCTGGGATCGGATTTACTGAGTTTGAATTCCAGCCCCCTCACATACTCTGAGTAGGTTAATTAAACTCTCGGGTCCTCACTTTCCTTACATGTTAAAGCAGAATCTTGGCTTCCAAGTAAGAGCAAAGTAAAACGACAGAATTCCTGGAAAGTGTGCAAAGCAGCCACTCACACATAATAAGCCCTCTATAGGTTCTAACCGGTCCCAAAAATTGAGAGTAGCGGACCCGGCTCCCTGGGTCCCAGTCTTACTTCACCGTGTTGGTAATTCTTAACTCTGCTTTTAAGTTTCCCTATTCGTAAAACGGGCAGAACGTTTTAGTTTTCGTTATGGGTTGTGGTGGAAATTAAATGAGTTAGTACAGGCAAAATGCTAACGGAGGCGGACATCACTTAAGCATCTTAAAGTTTTTAGTTCTTTTAGTTCTTATTCGACAATAAGATTTAAATGTTGGCACACGGAATCACTTCCTTGCTGTGTGATCTTGAGCATGTTTCCTCGTATCTCTGCAACTAGCTAATTACAAAAAAAAAAAAAAAAAAAAGAGCCTAAAACAGTGCCTGGCACAATAAATAGCAGTCATTATTTTCATTTTACAGGAGGCTAAAGTTCGGAAAGGCGGTGACGTGCCCCAAGGTCGTGGGACTAGAAGATGGTGGGATCGGAATTCGAATTAGTTACTCTGCAGAATCGAGGTACTAGCGAGGATCCAGAGGGGACAGAAGGAGAAGCCGGTAGGAGCGGGAGGGCGCGGGGGGGGGGGGGGGGGGGGGCTCGGAGCTCGGCTGGCCTGGCCTAGGAGGCGGGGCCTGGGGGAGGTGCACAGGCGGGGCCGAGGCCGTTTCACCGGCCCGGCTGCGGCGGCGGCGCTGCTTGCGCTCGCTCGGCGCTCGGCTGGGGCGGCCTGGCCCACAATGAATGGCCGCCGCGGCTACCGCTGCTGCTGAGGCGGAGGCCGCGGAGGCCGCGGAGGCGGAGGCCGAGGCCCCGGCGCAGGGGGGCGCGCCCCGGGCCCAGGCCCGGCCCCAGCTGCCGCTGCGGAGCCCGCCGGGAGCCCCCGGAGCGCGGCCACGGCGCAGGTGAGATGGCCTGCCTCAGGCCCGGTTCTGGCCTCCTCCAGCCGGGGCGGCCGAGGGCGGCCGAGGGCCGGCTAGGGCTGAGACGGGAGGCCGAGGGCTTCTCTGGGACTGGCGGGGAGCCGGGCCTGCAGCCCACCCTGTACCCGGACCGGCGACTGCGCGGAGACCCGGCCGCCGCCGGCGGCCTACAGCGTCCGGCTCCGGGCCGGGCCTCGGGGCTTGGGGCGGCGGGATTGGGCCCAGGCGCCCCGCTCCCGGCGCGGCGGGGGCCGGGCCGGCCGGGGCTGGGGGTCCCGGGAAGTTGGAGGGCTCGAGGGGGAGCAGTGAGGAGGCGCCCGGGGAGGCCGGGGGGAGGGGAGGAGCCGGGCTCGGGCCGGCCGCTGCGGGAGGAGGGGAGAGCGGCGCGGCGGCGGGGAGAAACGGCCCGGAGCGGCGGGGAGGGGCCGCCGCAGGTACTGCCCGGGCGCCGGCCGAGGTGGCGGGTCGGGTTACAGGCCGGGCCGGCCGCGGAGGAGCCCAGGAAGTGGGGCACGGTGGGTGGGGGCGGAGAGGAGGCGCCCGGGGATGCGGGCCGCGGGTCACCCGAGGTCAGGGCTGGGGGCTTGGGGGGAGTCGGGATCCGAGGGTCCGCCGGGTAAGTTAAGGGACCGCGGCAGCAGCCTGGGGAGCTGCGGGAGGCTGAAGCTTGAGTTGGGCTGGTGGGGATGTGGGGGCCGGTCGGGAAAAACTAGTGTGGCCAGCAGGGACGAGCCGAGACGGGTCCCCACACCCCAAGTGTTCGCGCAGGGTCAGACCCAGGGCTTTCCTCTTCCCACACCCATCTCTGGAGCCTCCGCCAACTGTTCCAGGAGCGGGCCGGCGGGTGGGTGTTTGTGTGGGCAGCTCCGGACATGGTCTGGAACACCTAGCTCAGGCATCTTGTTTACCACCCGGGTGGCCCTCGCCCGCCCCCACCCCATGCACCAGACGGGAGGCAGCCTCCTGCTCCTAGATGCGTCCTCCGCTCGTTGGAACTGGAGCCTCAGGGCTCAAGCCTGTGGACCAGGACCTGACAGTCACAGGCCATAGTTGTCTTAAGTGCTAGTTCCCACGCCCGAATTCCGTGTGCCCCTCCTGGAGGTGAAGAGTTAGGAGGGGACTGTGTACAGCGTGTTTGTTGACTGTGTCTTGGAGGTTCTTGCTGGGGTAAAGGCGGGTTATGGTGGAGGCTAAGGGATGGAGTAAGGCACCTACACCGTGGCCCAGGCTTTGGACTGCAGGCCCCAGGTCTCTACCTCCCCGCGCCCTGCTGGACCAGGCCCTGTGCTGAGCTTGCTGGTGGGATGAGCTCATGGATTGCTCACCACCACAGGGTTCTCTTAGGCATTTTCTGTGGTCCAGAGGAGGAAGCTGGGGGGTGTGGTTCCTCCAGGGTCACATGACTGGACAGGCCCATCTGGGATTGACTGCCCCTCAGTCCAATCCCTTGGGGCCGTTGGGTCACCCTTCCAGGGATATGAGTGGAGTAACTCCCTATTCTTTCAGAGTTCCTGGTCCCAAACTTACCTGCTTCCCATCTCCAGGACTGCTCAGTTCCCTTGCAGACAGACTGATATTCCCTGGTATCCAAAAGGACAACAGTGGAAGCTTCTTTCTCAGAGACCTGGTCACATCTTCTCCCCATTCCTGGTCTGAGAGCCAAGAGGTCAGGGGTCATGGAGCTGTGGGCCTGTGGGGGAAGGGGTTGTGAGGATGGAATGCCACTGGCTCTGGAGCTGGGTGTGACTTGGCTTGTCTAGGCTGTTTTCTCCCCTACTCTGGTTCCTCATCAGATTGCCCAGCTCTTCTTTCTTTTCGACTAATTGCAAGGCTGTTACCAGGGTGTCCTGGGGACTTTGATTTGGGATCCACAGCACCTGAGGCAGGAGCCACAAACTGCTGGGTCAAGTGGTATCATCCAGTTCTCCTGGGTTTAATGATGGCTTGTCTCCCTAATCCACCCCTCAGTCTCCCTGCAGTTCCCAGAATACCCCACCAGTAGCAACCCAGGCCCTGCCCTGCCCTCTCTGACTGGCCTCAGCTGCCCCAGGGAGAGAACTTTGCACTTGTTCTTTGTTCCCTTCACCTTTTTCTGCCATGACCTTTCCTTTGAGTCTGAACACACATCTCAACGAGCCCATCTCCAGAAGGACCGCCCTTCCTCCATCCCTGCCGGACTCTTTTGTGTTAGTTGGCATCAGTGTTGCCTGGGACCTTTGCACTTTTCATTTGTTACTTCTACCCTGTGCTGCTGCAGCCATGTCTCTTGGGATAGATATACAAAGAGACCTTCTTTCCTGCCTGGATGGGCCTGGGTTGGCTGCTGGAGTTGCTGTGGCATAGACTGGATCCTCCTGGGGTTCACTCGGGCTGTGTACTGAGGACAGGGATGGGTACCATCTAGTCACTGCTGAAACAGGCGGAGACTGGTGGGAGCTGGCCCAGATGTGGAAGATGGAAGAGGCAGGGGCCTTGCCCACAGCGAGAGAAGGCACTGGCTTTTCAGTGAGAACTTGGGGTGCAAAACAGTGGGGATGAGGGCAGCAGGCAGGCGGCTCAAGAGGAGTGTGATGTCACTGCCATACACTGGGTGTCTGCTGAAGCCAAGGAAGCAGTTCAGCTCTCTGGCAACTTCTGGCGGAAGTGACTGACCTCAGACAAGAGGTGGCGAAGGGAATTCCAGATTGCTGTATTTATGAAGATGGTATAACAAGGCGAAGGAGCGGTAGGCCTTGAGCGGGCAGGGAGATTTCAGCTGGGTGGTCAGGGAAGGCTTCCGGGAGGGCTGTGATCTGAATAATAAGAAATTAGCTGAGGCGAGGGTGGGGGTGTTCTAGGCCAAGAGGACAGCACATTCAAAGCTTTTATTGAGTATGTGCCAGGCTCCTGCTAAGTGCTTGAAACATTTTGTCTTCATGAGGGAAGGGAGTGAGGATGACCCTACTGTGGCGATAAAGAACCCTAGTGCCATCCAAAGGAAAGAAAAGCCTTGTCTCAGAGTCTCCCCATCACCCGCAGTTGAAAGTTCAGACCTTTTGGCCTGCGTTCAGGGTTTTTTGTTTTTGTTGTTGTTGTTGTTTTTAATCTGGCTCCTTGGTTGGGCAGGAGGGAGCCCCAGCATGTTCTCAGGTTAGGCTCCAGGGGATCTGGTTAGACAGAGGGTCAGAGTTTGGGAATTGGCTTGGCAAGGTCTGACCCTGGAGTTCATCATCGCCAGAGCCTTTGATGGACAATGGGAGCCTGCCAGGATACCTGAGCTATGCTTGAGGTGATGACTCAAAAACAGGTGGTATTCATGTCTCTCTGTTCCCTCTCTTGGACCCTCCCTGCCCCTTGTCACCCTCCCCTCCCGTTTTTCAGTGAGCACTTTTCCCATGTTTGAACTCGCACAAGCCCATGATCAGTGTGGGACCTGTGTGTTGTCATCACCAGTTGACATACAAGGAAACTGAGGCACTCTGGTTCTTTCTTCAAACGGATGCCCCTGCCAGTCATCCGATTCCCCTCTTTCTGAAGCCTGTGGGAGTGGTCCTCTGTCTCTTTGGCCAAGAATGTCTTTGCTGGAGAAGCTCGTGAGCTGCAGAGGCCATGAGGTTGAACTGGACCCA